GGTTCGTTCAACCCAGCTAGTGGGGGTTATACACCAGCAAATCGTGGCCCTGTTAGTGGGGATTATACACTGGCCGTGACCTATAGAGGAGACGTCTATTTCGTGCCCGTACTGTATCTGTTTTCGTGATTGTATTTGTTGGCATGCTATAAGTTTGATAATGGGCACTCCATATTTACTTATTGAGTTTATCTCATAGTTTCTCTTGTCCACCATTTCAGGAAGTGAAATCGAGGACGGGGAAACCACGGGAAGTGACGAGTTAGAAAGCTAGCCATTTCGAGATTGATATAGATTTTTAGAAATAAATCATGATCTTGTAAACTAGAGTGTATTGGAGATTTTATGATATCAGAGAGAATTTTATAATTTGATCTTCAGATTTTGATGGTATCAGAGTGTGAATTTGATAAGTTTCGAGCCTTGTGCATTTGTGGGACCCGTCTCACGAGTGCACGGCGTCTGTCGCGCCTCGAATTTGGGTTTTGGGGCGTGACATTAAGATTCTATTTAGCTTCATACTTACCAAATTTATCTTTATCCCTAGAATTTCAAACAGTGAAATCCATAGAGAAAATAGGATCTCATTCTCGTTCCACACAAAAGTATTCATAATAAGGTTGGAAACTCCATGCAATGTTTTAAGACCTGACCGAATCCAGTTGGTTGAACTAGTTCAACCAAACCTAGGCTTGAAAACAAGCTAATTGCATACCTCAGCCCATTTTGATAAATGACCCACTTTAACTCATTAAAACTTGCTCAACCTGCCTAACCCATTCAGATTTGCTGAGCCATATCAATCCATTTCTTTAATTAACCGTTTGTTTTTAATTTTTAATGCATTTTACCAATTTATCCCATCTTTTTTAATGTTATTACATTAAAAACCTTAAACTTAAATTATAAATTAAAAGATTAGATAAAAAAACCCTAACAAAGGTTAAAAAAAAAAAAACCAATTGTTTAAAAACTTGAAACTAGAAATAGATGAATAGTCACCACTTGTCCTCAGTCTCTTCGTCGACCAACAACCTTTTTGCTCCTAGCCACCTCCATCAACGACTCCACAAATCACTTTCCAACCATCTATTCACCCAATAGAACCATTTGTCCCTTTCATTAAACAATCCTCTATTAAATAGAAGTAGCAATAGAACAAATTTGCCTCATGTCCTTTGTAGCTCACCTTTTCAATTCTTCTTCTGTTTTTACCATAGTAAAGGGAGGTGAGTAAACTTTTAGACATAAATAGATTGTCCCTTTTTTTTTTTTTTTGCTCTTTGCTTTATGTTTTTTAATGTAGTAATTGTGTTAAAATCATACACAAATCAAAATAGTGATCAAGTGAACATGTCTAATTTGAAGTTGTCCATGACTCTTCTCCTTTCCTCTTGGCCATTTAATTCAGTAAGATTTTCAGCTTTACCTTGAATTGCATTCTCAAATTTTCACGTTTTACAAGCTTGTTAATTGTTGATAGGAATTAATTCTTTCTTAATCAATATCAATGTAAGATTTGAGAAAATTATTTATGAATATCTAAATCTATAATGCTTGATTTTATTCTTTCTTATTCTGCTATGCCTTGATTTTAAATTTTAATACACCATCTTCAAACAAAATTCTTATTTATCATGCTTAGACTCTAGGAGGTTTTCTTAATAATTTTATTCATGAGTGTAAATTGTAGGACAATGTCATCCTTTGGACAAAATTCAACTATTGTATCTACACAATCACAATAATCATGTACAGGAAAAGTTGATATTGCATGGAAGCATTGTGTTGAAGTTAAAGGCACAAAAAAAAAAAAAATACAATACTTGCATTGCCAAAAACTTATTAGAGGAGGAAGAATAAATATAATGAAACATCACCTTGCTAGGAAAGGTGGGAAAGTGAAAATGCATGATAAGGTGCCTCATGATGTTTGTATTTGAATGCAAGAAAGTTTGAGGGAATTTAAAGAAATTAAGAAGCAAGAAAAAAAATCAATGGGAAGATAACCTATTTGGTGATGCTGACATGCAAAAGATCCCTGCTCCACCTTCTTGAGCTAAAGGAAAAGGAATATCAACTACTGTAGAAAAGAGTGAAAAAAGAATGGCAAGTGGAATGCATAATTCTTTTGCCTTGAGGAGAACTCCTAGATCTTAGCCATCAATTAGGAGTGTAATGATAAGTATAAAAGATATCCATCAAGTTGATTTAGCAATTGCTCAGTTCTTCTTTAATAGTTGCATTCTTATAAATGTCATTAATTCTCTATATTTTTAGTGTATGATTGATGTTATTACTACAATTGGTCTTGATTATAAAGGACCAACTTATCATGTTGTGAGAACTAGTCTTTTGAAATATTAAAAAAAGGAGGTCTAATTGTTGGTTGATCCTTATAGGAAAGTTTGGAAAGAAACTGGTTGTACAATCATGGCTGATGGTTAGCGGGATCAAAAAAATAGACAATGGATTAATTTTCTTATTTATTGTCCTAAAGGGATAACCTTTGTGAGATCTATTGATACTCCTATTGTGGTTAAAGATGCTAGCATGCTTTGCAATTTGTTTAAAAAATTTGTTGATTATGTTGGTGCTAGTAATGTTGTCTATTTGGTCACTAATAATGTAGCTAATTATAAGAAAGCTGAAAAATTACTAAATGAGATGTATGCAACTATCTTTTGGTCTCCTTGTCCTGCATATTGCTTGAATTTGGTTTTAAGTGATATTGGCATGTTGGATGTTATGAGTAAATTAACAACTAGTGCATAATTGGTTACTAAATTTGTATACAATCATACTTTTCTCTTAGCTTGGGTTAGAAAAAGAAAAGGGTGGATTGAAATTACACGTCCAAAGCTAACACATTTTGCCACTACATTTATTAGATTGAAAAGCATTATTAACCACAAGCATAATTTGCAAGCATTGGTAATTAGTTTAGAATTTAAAGAATCTAGATACTTAAAAGGTTAAAAGGCAAAAGATGCTGTTGTTGTCTTAGATAACAAATTTTAGGGTAATTATCAGTTTGTTGTGAAAGTTGTGACACCACTTTTACACTTAGAATTGTTGATGGTGATGAAAAACCTTCTCTTGACTATGTCTATGATGGCATGTATAAAGCTAAAAAGGCAATTAAAACTATGTTGATGAATAGGAAGTCTTTACATAAACCTTACACAAGAATTATGAAAGAAAAGTGAGATAAGCAACTTCATCAAAGTATCCATGTTGTTGCCTATTACTTGAATTTTTTTCTTTTATGATAAAAATCATTTTTGCACTAGGTAAGAAGTGATAAAGGGTTTATGGATATTGTGGATGCAAAAATTCCTATTTGAAAGACAATTTTGGAATGAATGTAAGTTTTATGAGAAAAGATTGGAGAGCTTTGCTAGTCCAAAAGCTCTTGAATCTTTAAAAATTATGAAATTTGGTAAGATTTTGAGTTTTAATTTATAATTTTAATAATTTTTTATGACAAATATTTTTAATTATAAATTTTCTAACATTGTATATATTTCTTGTTTTCTTGATAGATGAGTGATGGAAATATTTTTGATACAGTGCTTCAACTCATAAAAATTTGGCTATTAAACTCTTTAATCAAACTTCATCGTCATCAATTTGTGAAAGAAATTAGAGTGTTTTTGAAAGGATATACACCAAGATAAGAAATAAATTGGAGTATCAAAGATTAAATAATCTTGTTTATGTACATTACAATTTGCATTTGAAAAATAAGTATTTTATGTTATATATATATTTAAATTATAGTTTTTTTTTTGTTACTTAAGCTTTATGAATTGAGTCTTCCATTAATCTCTAAGAATTTTGAATTATAGGATTGATGGCAAGAAGAAGACTTGCTTTAATCCTATTGAAAATGCAAGTATAGACAATATTGATTGTTAGATAATGGAAGAAAATGATTATCAAATTCTTGATTATGAAAAATTGGAGAATATGATTTATAATGAAAAGGCAATTCCAATTTGTCATACAAATAAAAAAGAAGGTAAATCACTAATTAATTTGATTTTTAATATATTATTATGACATTTAGTTAATAGACCATTAACAGTTATTTTTTACATACGTTTTTTTGCATGATTCTACAATTTCAATTTCAAGGTATTGAGGAAGAGCAAGTTGGTGATTCTAGTGGAGGGATTGAATTAGAAACTATTGGTGAAGGATTTGAAGATAGTGATAGTGAGCACGACTTCCATGAGCTACATGCTTCGTTTTATGTAGCTGCTCCTCATTTAGGCCAAAACAAATGAATTAGTAATGGTGCTTCATCTTTTGTACATTTGTATTTGTTGTGAATTTGGATTGAAACTTTCTTTTAGATTCAAGACTTATTTTGTAGTGAATCTAGTTTAAGATTGAGTTCTCCCTTATTTTCATGCTTGGTAAACTTATATTATATCTTTTAATATGATTAAATTTAATTTTTCATCTACTAACTATTACTCTCTTTTCGTTTTAGTCTAAAAAGTTTAGTTTCTTTCAAAATCATTTATAAACTTTCAAAATCATTTCAAATTCATCTACCTAAAAAACTGCTGTTAGCTTTTTTAACGAAATCCCATGGCATGCTTATGTGGCACCAATTATGTGACACATGTAGTTTTGAAAAATTACACTTTAACTCCAAAAACTTCACAAAATTTTTTATTAAATTTTATATTCAAATCATGTTACTTTCTCAACGAGATTTTTCTTTATTTTTTTATTTTTAATTTTTAATAAATTTAAATGTTTTAATTTTGATTAACAACTAAAAAATTCAGCATTGTTATTATTAGGATAAAATTATATCATTTCCTTTTTTATTTAGTTCAAAAAATTAATTTTATTTGTATTATCTCTTTCTCAAAATAACTTTTGTTTTTTTTTTTATATTAAGAATTTGAGGATAATTTATGTTTACTTATATTATCTTTAAAAAAAAATCAAAGATGAAGAGAAACATTTTGTGATGAAATGATTAATTAAAGTAAATAAATAATACTAAGGTTAAAGTAAAAAAATAATTAATTTGAGATAAATTTGAAATTGTAGAGCGGTAATTATTTTGGAACAAATGGAGTAAAGTTAAAATGTACTCTTTACATCCTAGAATAATGTCTTTTTTTATTTAAAATTTATCTTAAAATAATAGTGGTTTTTTTATATTTTAAAGGAAATAAATTTTTTATTTCTACTTTAATTTTATGATTGTATCTTAATTTTAATAATTTTTCTTATTATAGGGGGACGAAAATTTAAGTCTAATAACATAATATAAATTATATTATTAAATATAACTAAAGTATGGGAACAAACTAGAAAAATACTTTGGTTATATTTTTCTAGTCATAAATTTTCGTCCCTTATCATTACTCTTTTATAATAACAAAAATTATTAAAATTAAGATATAATCATAAAATTAGAGTAGAAATAAAAAATTTATTTTCTTTAAAATATAAAAAAAATTATTTTAAGATAAATTTTAAATAAAAAATATTTATTATTTTGGGATGTAAGGAGAACATTTTAACTTTACTCCATTGTTCCAAAATAATTAGCGCTCTATAATTTCAAATTTGTCTCAAATTATTTTTTTTTTTTTTTTCAGGTTAACCAATTTTTTTTTTTATTTTAACCTTAGTATTATTTATTTACTTTAATTAATCATTCCATCACAAAATGTTTCTGTTCATCTTTGATTTCTTTTTAAAGGTAATATAAGCAAACATAAATTATCCTCAAATTCTTAATTTGAAAAAAAAAAGTTATTTTGAGAAAGAGATAATACAAATAAAATTAATTTTTTGAACTAAATAAAAAAAGAAATGATATAATTTTATCCTAATAATGACAGTGATGAATTTTTTAGTTGTTAATCAAATTTATTGAAAATTAAAAATAAAAAAAATAAAGAAAAATCTCACTGAAAAAGTAAAATGATCGGAATATAAAATTTAGTTGAAAATTTTGTAAAGTTTTTAGAGTTAAAGTGTAATTTTTTAGAACTGCATGTGTTACATAATTGGTGCCACGTAAATATGCCATGAGATTTTGTCAAAAAAGCTAACGGTAGTTTTTTAGGTAGATGAATTTGAAATAATTTTTGAAGTTTATAAATGATTTTGAAAGAAACTAAACTTTTTAAACTAAAACAAAAAGAGAGTAATATTTAGTAGATGAAAAATTAAATTTAACCCTATTAATATTTATTAGTTTAGATCTTAAAACTTATATGTTGCTAATTAAATTCATTATTTTAAGTTGCTTAAATGATGCCTTTCAAGTTGATCTTATGGTAATTATTTCTTAAGAATAGAGTAAAAATAATATATAAAAGTACAATCTAATTTAAAGCCCTAAAAGGCTATTCTTTTTAATTGACTAATTGGACCGATTAGTTGAACTAGTTGATTGGTTGAACCAAACCCAATGCTCAAAACAAGTCGATCACTAGGTTAGGTCTTAAAACATTAACTCCATGCTCTTATCACCATTGTCACCACAACACACCCACCTTAACTTCCTTTGCTCACACTCTTCACCTGTCACGCCCCAGAACCCAAATTCGGAGATGTGGCAGACGCCGTGCACTCGTGAGAGGGTCCCACAAATGCACAAGGCTTAGAACTTATCCAATTCATAATCTGATACCATCAAAATCTAAAGATCAAATTTTATAATTTGCTCTAATATCATAAAATCTCCAAATACACTCTAGTTTACAAGATCATGATTTATTTCTAAAATCTATATCAATCTCGAAATGGCTAGCCTTTTAACTCATCACTTCCCATGGTTTCCCCGTCTTCGGTTTCGATTCCTGAAATGGTGGACAAGGAAAACTAGGTGAGATAAAATATCTCAGTAAGTAAATATGGAGTGCTCATAATTAAACTTACAGCATGCAAACATGTGCAATCACGAAAAAAGGATACAGTACGAGAACGAAATAGACGTCTCTTCTATAAGTCATGACCAGTGTTATAACAACCCATTGGCAGGCGCCAGAAATTTACCAATGTGTTTGCCCATTGGTAGGCGTCAGAATTTACCAGTCATATCAATAAACATGTCGACATGTGCTAGCGTTTAACCCCCACTAGCAGGATCATTAATAACATGACCACATCGGAGACAAAACATGCAGAAGTTAACAGAAAAATCATAATTCACCAATCACTTTCAAATCATCAGGATAATCAATTAAATTTCAAGTAGGCATGCTCAATTGAATGAAAAGTATAAAAATTTCACTTCAAATCAATCATACTTGTGTAAAACGGGTTTAGTACCGCCACCACTTCAAAAACAAATCAACACATGCTTTTAAAAACTGTATGGGCATTATCATAAATTTACTTACCTAACTCGCATAAATTGAAGACTCGATTTCAATGTTAACTGACAGAACGATCAAGAACCTAATCAAAATATTCCAAAATTAATACCAAACTATTACAAATTCAAAGTGAAACTTCATTAGGACCATCTCTAATCACGATGCTATTTCTATAAATCTCCACATGATCGGACATCTTCAAATTCGTTCTTATATCACAAACTAAACATTTAATCCCTGTTAATTGTTGACCCTCGGTGTATGAACAGTAATCTGTGAACAGTGTCGTGAACAGTAACCACGACGTGAACAGTAACTCCCACTTCCAAAATTGACAAAACACTAGCTAATTCACGAGAGTTTTCTCCAAAAATCACACAGCAGTCAATTAACACTCAATCATATAAATCCCACTTAATGTTTAAATTTGTCCTAAAGCTACCAGAATTCCTCCCCCATTTTTCTGTCAAATTCGGACAACACAGCCAGCAAATAAATGGCTAATTTAGGGCTTAAAGAAGTGGCCATCATACCAGAATTTAGCAGCTGCAGAACCGGGCCTAGCAGGGGGGAGAAGCCGGCGGGAAATTGGGGAAAGGCCGGCGGCAATTTCTGCAGGGGATCACGGGATCAACCCAAAATCTGGAGAAACAACAAATTTAACATGAACCCAAGCTAATTTAAGGCTAAAAGGATGGATTAATGGTTGTTCTTACCGGAAAATCAAAGCAATTCGCCCCCACAAAGCAGGAGCAGCCGGCGGTGAGGAAGGAAGAACAGAGCAGATCCGGGGTTTTTTATAGAGGGGGAAAGGTTTCTGGGTTCTAGATGTGTTCTAGAGCAAGAAAAGAAGGAGAAAACCAAGCTTTCTCACCCATTTTTCAAGGGAGGTGCATCGGCTTGGCTGGGTTTTGTTCTTGGGCTGCAGCGGGAAGAAAAGAAGAACAGATGCGTGGGCTGAAGAAGGAGAAAGAAGGAAAAAAAATAGTGGATCCTTATCCAAATCTCTTTCACTTTGAAGTTCCTCAAGTTCCAGAACTTTCACTATTAGGCCCCAAAATAATTATTTCTCACACATAAACCCTTACTTAAATGATAAAATTTCCGAAAATTTTGGGATATTACATCACCTATAGATCTACCTTTACTAGCCATCCCATTTGCTCACACTTACTAGCTTAAGTGATACCAAATCGAGACTCTACTGCCTAAACTTATGTAATATCCCAATTTTTTTGATATTTTAGCATTTAGTTAAGAACTTAATTATGAGGAAATAATATTGTTGAGCTTAATGACAAAAATTTCTAAACTAAAGGGACTTAAAAGAAAAAAATTTGGATAAGTACCAGCTGATGGTTTTTTTCCTCCTTTTCCTCTTTCTTCCTCAGCCCGCGTGTCCTGCTCTTCTTCTTCCCCGACCCCCCTGCAACCCAAAAAGGAAGCCAAGCCACCGACGCCTCCCCT